TTGGTTTTAGACCAAGTAAGAATCATGATGTTCATGATACAATAATAATAATAATATAATAACCTTGTAACAAAGATATTATCACTAATAAAGACACATAACATTTTTACAATAAATAATTGAACTTCTAATAAAATCCTTAATAAACCTTTGCTGAAAAGCATACACCACCTTAATTTAAGACCATACTAACTAAGGGACGCCTTAGTCAGACAGTGGAACATTTATTGATTATATTTAGGCTTTGCCAGCAGTACTTCTATTAGTACTGTAAAGAGAGAGATTGCGCAACAGAGAGGCTCTGAGCTGTGTGCCGTAATCAGAGGCCGGAATTGGAGAACCCTGAGCTGTGTGCCGTAACAGGGAGATTAATATTTTGGACTTTTTATTTATCTTATCTTATATTTATTGGACACCTCACGAGCTGTATTTGAATTTACACGCTCGCAGCGCCATTACTTTCGCCAGGGACTGTAATAGATAATATGAGAGGATACAATTAATTCATTGAAATATTATCATTAGTGATTACTTGCAGCTAATGATGTATGATGAAACTTTTGACTTTAGTCATTGACGTGATGAAAGTACTGACTAAAGGTAGTTTCTCACCAAGGACCATTTTGACGATTTGACGAAAGTAAAAAGTGTTGACAAAAGTAAAAATTGTTGACAAAAGTAAAAATTGTTGATGAAAATAAAAATTGAAATTGAAATTTATATATATAAGGTTACCCTAATTATAAAATAATAAATATTTTGAGTAAAAATTATTTGAATTGAAATTATATAATAGTGACCATAAACCATTCAAATTTTTATATCCAGTAATACTGTTTAAAGCAATAATTAGTTTTTAAAATGTCAGATCCACAAAATAAATTATCTGGTAGACCTTCCTCAGATATGTGGATTTATTTTACTAAAAAACAAGAAGAAAAACCCAAAGGACATTAATCTCCACAATGAAAGTACTGTACAAAAAAGTTTAGTCATGGACAACCACAAAAATTTTTATCACATTTAGCAAATCATTGTCCAGGCTGTACTTGTGAAATTAGAAAAGAATGTCTAAAACAAATAAACAATGATAATAATAATCAAATTTTAGAATCATCATCAACTCAACAGCCAATTTCAAATTTTTATGAAAGCACATTGTTGACAAAAGAACACAATGATTCTATTAACCAGGCATTAATCAAAGCATTCATTTGCTGTGGAATTCCTTTTTCAGTTGTTAGTAATTCATACTTTATAGATCCTCTTCAACAGCTCTGTCCTGCATATCAACCACCATCTAGGAGTGTTTTATCTGGAAAATTTCTTGATACCAAAATATCTAATGACAATAATAAATTGAATTCAATATTAGAAAATAACAAAAACCTGACATTAGGTGACTATCATTATTATTATTATTTTATTTTATTTTACTTACCTTAAATTTGATAATTAAAACAGCAATTGATGGTTGGTCTAGTCCTCAGAATTTGTCAATATGGAGTTTTGTGATATATACACCTGATTGTAAGCAATATTTGTATGAATTACATGACCTATCATCTGATAGTCATACTGCACAATATATTGCAACCCAAATTGAAGGAATTATGAATAAAGTTGGCCCATTTAAGTTTTCTGCAGTAGGTGCTTCCAATGTGAGTGGTGACAGGAAAATTATTACTGATAAATTTAAACACATCATCAACTTGCATTGTATAGCCCATTGTATCAACTTGGTGACCAAAGATATTATCCAAAATAATTTTGCAAAAAATCTGATTTCTAAATGCAAAATTGTTGTCAGATTTTTTAAAAGGTTCCATAAAGCAACCAATATATTGCAAGAAAACATCAATAAAAATAATATTGTTGGTGGTGGTCTGAAGAAATGTTGTGAGACACGTTGGATATCAGTATATGATAGAGTGGCATCTATTATAATACTCAAACCTTGTTTTGATTTAATAAGTTGTTTTTATTTTTTATTTATTTTATTTTATTTTAATTTTAATATTTATTTAAATTATAAATGGATTTTGAGAGAAAATGATGATTTGGT